CCTCAGCTCTTCAGCTCAAGGCAAGTGCTCTACCACTTGAGCTACAGCGCCACTTCCGGTTTTCTGGTGGTTTATTGGAGATAGGAGTCTCACGGACTTTCCTGCCCTGGCTGGTTTTTGAACCATCATCCTCAGATCTCAGCCTCCTGAGTAGCTAGGATTATAGGCGTGAGCCACCAGTGCCCGGCAGTTGGATGTTTCTTACATGCACACACACACACACACACACACACACACACACACACACCATTATCCAGTTTTTTGCCTCCTAATCATTTCAATGCAGGCCATTCTCCTTTCCATCCACCTTCTTGTTGGTCTGATCATCCTCCTTGAGCCCATAATGGTGTTGTCAAGTATAAATCTGGTCTGTCATTCCTACTTGTCCCCACCACTTCCTCTCTGATGTCTAAACCCTTCAAAGGTCCCATTGTCCTGGAGACTTTTTTATTTTTTGGTCATGTGGCTTGAACTCAGCCTGGGTGCTGCTCCTCAGCTATTCAACTCAGGGCTAGTGCTCTACCACTTGAGGCACAGCACCACTTCTGGCTTTTTCTGCTTATGTGGTACTGAGGAATCGAACCCAGGGCCTCATGTATACAAGGCAACCACTCTACCACAGAGCCACCTTCCCAGCCCTAAAAAGTAAATTTTTAACAAAGGGCAAGGCTTTCAGTTGCCAAAACAACTGAAGGAGCACTGCTGTAAATTAGTGGTCGGGTGGAATCAGGGATGCTGAACAGTCCTACAGTGAGAAGTCCTCCCTTCTTCCCACTAGAATTGCTACACTGAGTTGAGGGGGGCGGGGGGAAGGCAGGTGGCTCACATTTATAATTTATAATCCTAGCTACTTGAGAGGCAGAGATTATGAGGATTGAGATTCCAACCTAGGGAAAGAAGTCTGCAAGAACCCCTCTGAATAGAGGGAAGCTGGAGGGGATGGCATGAGTCTGTAATCCCAGCAACTATGGAAAGCCAAAAGTTGGCAGATTGTGGACTTAGGTACTCCAAATGACACTCCTATCTCAAAAACAACCAGAAAATCAACAACAACAAAACAGAGCTGGATATATAGCTCAGCAGTATTCAGCCAAAGCATAAAGCTGACTTCAAATACTATAAGGCCAAAAAACTAAGTTTCATTCTGAAATTAAAAGATATTTTAGGGATAGTTAAGGTAACTGTCCTGGCCTTCCCTCACATAACACCATTTGTGGGGTCAGGTGTTGTTGAATGGATACAGCATTTTATACTGCTCACTTTTTTTTTTTTTTGCTGTTCTTGGGACTTGAACTCAGGGCCTGAGTGATGTCTTTTAGCTTTTTAAAAAAAACTTAATTAAAAACTTAAAGGTGTTTTCAGAGGGGTTACAGTTACATATGTAAGATAATGAGTACATTTCTTGTCACCCTCCCTAAGTTTCTCCCACTTTCCCTCCTTTAGCTTTTTTGCTCCAGGCAGGCACTCTCCCACCATTTGAAGCACACCTCCACTTCTGACACCTCCACTTTTTACGATTCACTGAAGGTAAGTCTCATGGATGTTCCTGTATAGTCTGGCTTCAAACTTTAATCCTAAATCTCAGCCTCCTGAGTTCCTCAGAAGTTAGTATTGCATACTAACCATAAACTCTAGCATGGAGGTTGGAGGTACTTTTTCCTTTTTTTTTTCTTTAAAAGGTGGTGATGAAAAGCTGGGTACCAGTGGCTCTTGCCTGTAATCCTAGCTACTAAAGAGATCTGGGGATAGCAGTTTGAAGCCAGATTGTGCAGGAAAGTCTGTGAGGCTATTATCTCCAATTAACTAACAGAAAAGTCAGATGTGGAGCTGTGCTAGAGTGGTAGAGTGCTAGCTCAAAAGCAGCCCAAGGACAGAATCCAGGCCCTGAATTCAAACCTCAGGGCCAGCATACACATAAAAAAGGTAGTAATGGTTTTCAGAAAGCTTTTCATAAGAATGTGGATAGGAACAATGACCTTTATTTAAAAATATATTATTATGTATATATACATCATATATATATTCACTTATACATCATATATATATATATATATATATATATACACACACACATACATCATATATCATACGCATACTATTTTGCATCCGCTTGGACCACTCTCGTCACGGTGTCAGGACCCTCTCATCTCGGTCCCACAACCATCCATCCTTAGGTCAACTGAGGAAATGAACCTCGTTTCCTCAGTAATTTCCTTCCCCGGTAGAAAACAAATTGCAGGAAAGCAAAAGTCCTAGCTTGCCCTGTTCCAGGATGCTCACAAACCAGGTAAGGCTTAGCCAGGGATGGTAAGTGCAGAATGACTTAAAACCTGCTCCACTAGATGCTTCGGTGGCGGATAGAGACATTCTGCGCAGGCGCGAATTTGGCCCCGCCTTCGGGTGACGTTACACAGCCGTTACCGCGCTGTGGCGTCTTGACGCGCGCAATTTAAAACCAGCTCTTGATCCGCGGAAGGCAAGATGGGTCCTCCAGGCACTGGTGAGGCCGGGTTGGAGGGAGTTGCGACGTTCAGGTGGAGACTTCGAGTGGTGCTCTGGCTGGATGGCTAGCAGTAGAGCCTGGGAGGCGAGTGCGCGCATGCTCATCTCGGTTCTCGGTGCGCCGGCGGCGGGCAGGCGCGCGTGTGTGGGAGCGCAGGCCGGACCCCGGCCTCAGGGCGGGCGGGAAGGCGCGGCCGGGGGGACGCCCATCAGGATGCGTCTCCTCCGGCGTCTGTTCCGGCTCTCCGAGAGGTCGGATCAGCTCCACTCGGTGCACTTTGCTCGATTTCTGTTCGCAAAGGAAACTTCGTGTTGTTGTTTGGTTTTGTTTTTGCTCTTCTGGAGAACCCCTTAGCTTCGGGGCCATGGAAGCGTCGTGGTCACATGCATTTATTGATAGGAAAGCATTGAGTGGACATGGGATTTCTGTCCTCTTAAAGGCTGTGTGCTAGCTGGATTATGGGAAGGCCAGCGCTGCTGTCCCGAGTCTGGCTAAAGAAAAATTCAGGCACGATTAGTAAAACAGTGACAGTGATAGTAACGTTTATTCAGAACGGACTACACTTCCAGTAAGCTAAAAGGCCTTTTCCAGGGTGAGAACGACAGCATTAGCCCTTGGGGTTTAAATACGCATTGAGATTGTCTGTGAGAAAGTTCTAGGTCCAAGTCCAGCCTACGGGATTGAAGTCACCTGGTAAACAAGTGTTCTGAGGTCGATTTACAGAATTATAATGTACAAATGAATATTTAGGTCCTACTGATCTATGAGTCTACGTTTTTGTTTTATAAATGACCTATGATTCCAGGCATTCTTGTCTGTTTGCTTTAGGTTGAAATACTCTTCAATTCTTAGGACTCAAAAACCTCTTATGACATCTATGACTTTGGTGGGATTTTTTAAAAAAATTTAACTTGTTATTATAAAGGTAATGTATAGATGAGTTATGATTTTGTAAGTCAGGTAATGAGTACCTTTCTTTTTGGGGAGCATCACCCCTTCCTTTGCTCTTTCCCAGTTTCCCCCTCCCATTCCTACCCACAACATACTTTCTACTGAGTATGCCGCTGCATTTTATCTTCACATAGGCTGGTCACCTGTGAGTCTCTAAGACCTTGTATTCTCTTCCCAAGGTCACTAATTATGTCTTTCCTTTTTAAGGACTGGAGGCCTTGAAGAAACTCCATTTTAGATTTCCTTTGCATAGCCTCATCTCTTTTGTCTAAGAGCAATCTAACAGATGGGGAGACAGACATTACAACAAATAGTTGGAAGGAAGAAGGGAAGACTTCAGTGTTGTGGTTGATGCTAGCAGAGTATGGAGGCTCTTTTAGATTAGGGACTTAGGGAAGAGATTTAAGCAGAGACTTAGGAACATGTTTGAGGCAGAAGCATGTACAAAAATGAGAAGTCAGGAAAGAGCCTGGTTTGGGTAGGACTGAACTAGAACATTGTTATTAAGCTCACTGAATGATGCTAGGTAGGGCCTGTTAGGCCTTACTTGGTAAGACAGGTAGGGCCTGTTAGGCCTTGGTAAGAGGTTTGGAAACTTGAGTTACATTTCGGACATGGTTAAGTTTGAGTTATTGTAAAGATGCTTGGGTGAAGGAATCAGCCAGTTGGGTAAGAGTTTGGCACTCAGGAGTAACATATGGAAGAGAAAAAAATGTACTACTGTATTATCATTATCAGCATAGATTGTAAACCCTTGGGAACTGGTGAGAGTATAGAAAGACCTTGTATTGAGTGTACTCAGGACCAATATTTAAAGGCTGGGTAAAGAAAGATGTGCTGAAAAAACTCAAGAGGGGGATATAGAAGCCAAGTGTGTTTCTAGAAAGAAGGGGGAGTATCAGCTGTTCTAAATGCTCCTGAATCTCAAGAGAGATGATGCCAGAGAAGTGACCAGATCCTATAACAACATGGAAATTGTCGTTTATGATGACAAGACTGCTTTCTTTCTCTTTCTTTCTCTCTCTCTCCCTCCCTCTCCCCTTCCTCCCTCCCTCCTTCCCTCTCTCCCTCCCTCCCTCCTTCCTTCCTTCCTTCCTTCCTTCCTTCCTTCCTGCCTTCCTGCCTTCCTTCCGTTCTTTTTATTTTGTCATGGGGCTTGAACTCTGAGCCTGAGCACTGTCCCTCAGCTGTTCAGCTCAAGGCTAGCACTCTACCACTTGAGCTACAGCGCCATTTCTGGTTCTCTGTTGGTTTATTGGAGGTAAGAGTTTCACGGACTTTCCTGCCCTGGCTGGGTTTGAACCATGATCCTCAGATCTCAGCCTCCTGAGTAGCTAGGATTACAGACGTGAGCCACCAGCACTTGGCTAAGACTGTTTTCTTGAAGTAGTAAAGATGAAAACCAGACACAAGGGATTGAAAAATAGTGGGAGACAAAGGAGATACAAGGAAGTATTTTGAGCTCAGTAACATCTGTTAAGAGAATAATGCATTGTTAAAGGCAAAGATGGAAAGATTTAAAGGATTAAAACATGCCTGTAATTCTCAGCTTGAGTTTCCTTTGACAAGTTCCTCTTTCAGTGCTTCCCATTTTTGTTAGCCTCTAAAGATCCAGTTCCTTTCCTTAATCTGCAGTGCCCACATCTACACAGTCTCAAGTCCTCTTGATTTTTTTTTTTCTCTAAAAATGTCTCTTGGCTGGGAAGGTGGCTCAGTGGTAGAGTACTTGCCTTGTATGCATGAGGCCTTGGGTTCAATTCCTCAGCACCACATAAACAGAAAAAGCCAGAAGTGGCGCTGTGGCTCAAGTGGTAGAGTGCTAGCCTTGAGCTGAAGAACAGAGGGACAGTGCCCAGGCCCAGAGTTCAAGCCCCATGACCGACAAAAAAAAAGTCTCTTGTCCTATTTTGTCAATTTTTTGTTCATTTTGGCTTCAAGTGAGTTATGTTGTTAACTACACACTTAAACTTGTAGGGAGCTATTAGGGCATTATGCAGAGTCCTTACTTGTGTTCCTGTTTATCCCTTTCCTTCCCTTCACATAGTCAGTCATTTAGTGGTGCTAGGGATCAAACCCTGGGCCTGGTGCATGCTAGGAAAGGTCTATACCACTGGGTTACATCCCCAGTCTTACTTTGTAAATGTGTTCCTATGAAGTATGTCATATTGTATATGTATATATTTTTTCTTTGTATCATCAATGCCAAACAAGCTCAGTTTGTGCTTTACTTTTTAAATTTTTTCTTATACTGTTAAGGATCAAACTCAAGCCTTGTGCTCTACCACTTATCAGGTTTGAGTTTTTCCATTTAAAATTTTTCCAGCTAGTAACTGATAGAGGGAGGCTTAAAGCAAGGTTTTCTGATTCTTTTTGTCTGTTGTGGGGCTTGAACTCTGGGCCTGGGCACTGTCCCTCAGCTCTTCAGCTCAAGGCTAGCACTCTACCACTTGAGTGCCACTTCTAGTTTTCTTGTGGTTGCTTGGAGATAAGAGTCTCACAGACTTTCCTGCCCAGGCTGGCTTTGAACTTGGATCCTCAGATCTCAGCCTCCTGAGTAGCTAGGATTATAGGTGTGAGCCACTGGCGCCCAGCTTTCTGATTCTTAAATTTGGAAACTTTCACTCTTGGAAAGTTTTCTGAGTTTATCTTCTAGGGATCTTTGTTTCTTTTCCAATCATAGTAAGTTATAGGTAGTCACTATGATAATTAAACCTTGGGTCTCGTCACTAACAATAGCTGAACCACTCTACTTCAATTTTAAGTATCCTACTTCTTAAAAGCAGCCCATCTTTCTAGCTCACTTTTTTTTTAGGGGGGGGTAGGGATGGTCCCAGGGTGCTGTCACTGAGCTTTTTGTTCAATGCAAGTAGTGCTTTACTACTTAAGCCACACCCTACTTCTGGCTTTTTGAGGGTTAATTGTAGATAAGGTTTTAATAAACTTTCTTGCCAGGCTTACTCTAAACTGTGATCCTCAGGTCTCAGTCTCTGCAGTAGCTAGGGTTATAAGCATGAGCTACCAATGCCTAGCAGCTCACTTCCTCTTACAGGCTGACTAAAGCAATCTTCTGTTCCAGCAGGTCTGTATTCTATCCTTGATAACTATTTCAGACCTTCCTTTCTCTCCTTCAATCTGGAATACTTTCTCTTCAACCTTCCTGTTAGCTGCTGAATTTTTTTGTTCTTTCTTGCTTCCTATTTTAAATGAGAATAGAATATGGCAAGTTCCTACTGTCCTGCTCCCATACCTGCATCCATGCCCGTGTATTCTACTTTACTTCCAGTTGCTGGGGATTGGTTCCTTGTGTTCTTAATACAGGCAATTCCTGTATTTTAAGCAAATAAGTAATGTGTGGAGTACATTGTTCAGTACCTCTGTATGTGTGTGTGTGTGTCTTATGTACCCTAGGCTGTCCTGGAATTTGTAATCCTGCCACAGCCTCCCAAATGCTAAGATTACAGATACACACTAGTTTGGTAACTTTTGTATGATCTCTATTTTAATCTGTAATGTGTTACTTTCCATAGTAAAAGGGATTTTGCAGATATGAAATTTAGGGTCTTGAGATAATGATCTTGGACTGTCTGAGTAGAACCCAGTGATCCTTATAAGAGGTAGGTGGGTCAGTCAGAGAAGATGTGATTAGAGGAACGAAAGGTTGAATTGATAAGAGGAAGTAACCAGGAGCCAAGAAATGAAGGCAGCTGCTAAAAGCTTTTTGGAAAAGACATGGAAACATTTTCCTCTAAAGCTTCCAAAAAGTGTGCTGCCTTGCTAACATCTTGGTTTGAGACTTGTAACTTCCAGACTTTCAAGAAAAAAATATGTTTTTTTAAAATCTTTTTTTTGTTTGTTTGTTAGTCGTGGGGCCTGAACTCTGGGCCTGGGCACTGTCCCTCAGCTCTTCAGCTCCAGGCTAGCGCTCTACCACTTGAGACACAGCACCACTTCCGGCCTTTTCTGCTTATGTGGTACTGAGGAATCGAATCCAGGGCCTCATGCATGCAAGGCAAGCACTCTACCACTGAGCCACCTTCCCAGCTCCAAAATGTGTGTTGTTTTAAACTATTAAATTTGAAGTAATGTGTTACAGCAGGATTTTTCATGTTAAAAATTGATTTCTTGCTCTCCCAACTCCTTTAATCATAGCTCCTTCCTCCCTTTCATAGCAGAAGTCTTTGAAAACCTGATCTGAGTTTCCTGTGTCTACTTCCTGTTGTTCCATCCTCTCAGGCTATTCCAATTTGGCTTTCCCCTCCACTGCTATCGGAAAACTATATATGTGAAGATCTCCAGTAACCCCTAGGTTGTAGATCTAGTGGTCAGTTCTCAGTCATTATCTAATTTGATCTGTCACCTACAATAGACATTGCTTACTCATGCACTATCCTCCCTTGCAGTACCTTCTTTATCTGGTACTAATTAATTTGTCTACATACTTATGCTGGTACAGGGGCTATTTTCATTTCTTTTTTAGTCTGTTCTTATCATGACAGGTAGGGGGATTCTTCCTTTTTTAAAAAATTGAGATAAGGGTCCTACTAATTTTTTGCTCTTGTGGCCTCAAACCATAATGTTAGTGTGCTTCTGAAAGCACTGGGATTGCAGACATGAGCCACTGCACTTGACATTTTGGTTTCTTTTAATTCACAAGATTTTTTTCCCCCTGTGGTAAGATTAGAGTTCAAACCTTTTTTCCTTTTTTTTTTTTTTTTTGATGCCAGAACTGGGTTGAACTTATGCCTTTCTCATTTGCCTTTCTTGCTCACAAGTGGTATTCTTACTACTTGAGCCTTACCTCTAGTTTGGCTTTTTACAAGTTAATTGGATGTGGAGTTTCACAAACTTTTCTGCCATGGCTGGCTTGAAACCATGATCCTCAAAGTCTTAGCTTCCTGAGTAGCTAGGAGTGCAGGCATGACCCACTGGCACCTAGCTTGACATTGACTTTTTTTTTTGTACTGGTCCTGGGGCTTGAACTTAGTGCTTGGTCACTATCCACTGTCCTTGAGCTTTTTTGCTCAAGGCTGGTAGAGCTCTACCACTTGAGCCACAGCTGCACTTCCCGTTTTTTGGGGGGTTAATTAGAGATATAATTGGAGTCTCATGGACTTTCCTGCCCAGGCTGGCTCCAAACCATGATCCTCAAATCTCAGCCTCTTGAGTAGCTAGGATTTTGGGCATGAGCCACTGACATTGGGTTGGTGTGTGTGTGTCTGTGTGTGTGTGTGTGTGTATGGGTGTAGGGGTGTGGGTGTGCATGTGTGCATGTGTATGCCTGTGTTAGGGCTTGAATTTAGAGCCTGGCCACTGCCTCTGAGCTTTTTTGTTCAAGGTTAACACTTTACTACTTGAGCCGCTACTCCACTTCTGGCATTTTGGTAGTTAATTGGAGAAGAGTCCCACAGACTTTCCTACCAGGTCTGACTTTGAACCTTGATCTCATTTCAGCTTCCTGAATAGCTAGGATTATAGGCATGAGCCACTGATGTCTGGCAACATTGACTTTAAAGAGACTGAGCCAGTTATATTGTCTACTGCTCCCAATCTAGAGTTGTCTCAGTGTTTCTTTGTAGTATCATTCAATTTATTAATCTCTTGTATTTATTACAAACTGGAAGTTTTAAAGCGTTGGTTAAATTTAAACATCTTTACCCAAAATATTTCCTGGATGATGCTAAAACTTGTATCTATCTTATCAGAGTATGAGTAAGTTTTAGGTCTCATTTTTAGTGTGGCTACATTTGGCTACTTGCTTAATGTGCTAACTGCTAAATCTAACTGTAAAAAGCTTTTTTTTTTTTTGGTTTTGCAATTAGCAAGTAATCTGTGGGTAGGTCTTTGGAATAGTGTATTTATTTTGTATACTTGTGATATTTATTCTCTGCCTTCCCACTAGACATGGAGGAGCAGAGATCTGAATATGACCTGTTCAATTAGAGCCATACTTCATGCTTGCTCAACATCAGACACAGATGTCTGACACTATGGGTGACAGGTTTCCATTGTCCTATTGATTTGTGGGTTTATTAGGGACAGCAGTTTCATCTTATCCTTCTTATGCCCACACAGTGATAGGATCAAACCTAGGGCCTGCCACGTGCAAGGCAAGTGCTCTACCACTGTACTACACTGTCTGTACTGTCTTTTTCATCTTTCTATCTTGTTGGGTTCTTGCATTCACAGTATCTTCCAAGTGGCTATTTGTTTTATCACCTTTGCTTCATCCTTACCCAAGAAACCCAAACTCTAGAAGGTCTAACATTATGTATTAGAAAAAGAGAAGATCTTATTAGGGAACAAAGCAGTGAGCCTCCACCCAGTACCAGGCCTAAATCCCTTTAGATTCAGGAAATGTTCAGTTGAATGTTTCTTAAGCAAGTGTTGTATTCTTTTACTGCCAGCCACAATGAATAATTCTTCAGAGACACGTGGACACCCCCACAGTTCCTCCTCACCTTCAGAACGGATGTTCTCAATGCCAATGGCTAGGAAGGCCCCTCTGAGTACATCTGGCACCCCAGTCCTTGAAGACTTTCCTCAGAATGATGATGAAAAGGAGCGAATGCAACGGAGGCGCTCCAGGGTCTTTGACCTGCAGTTCAGCACAGACTCACCTCGTCTGTTAGCCTCCCCTTCCAACAGGTGAGTGAATCTCTGGACTGGCTTTCTTTTGCGTTTGTGGGCCCTGGCATAATAATCTTATATATTCTGGTTCTGGATTTTGAAAAGTTCTCATATTGTGGATTCTTGCTAGAGTTTTTGTTTTTGCTGTCCATTTAGGAGTACTGATGTTTCTACTACCATCTCTAAATTTACAAACACACAGATTACAGAGCATTACTCCACCTGTATCAAACTATCTACTGAAAATGTGAGTATTTGCTGGTTTATTTAAGATTTTTACATCTGTTTTTTTAGAGACAGATTCTTGCTGTGTAGTTCAGTTGGCCTTGATCTCAAGATCCTCCTGCCTTCGAGCCTCCCAAGTTGCTGGGATTTTGGGCATGAACCACTGCCCAGCTAGAATCAGGGGAAATTTAGCTTTCTTGATTCTGTGGAGGGTGTTTGATAATTATTTTACTCTCCAGTGTTGCTTCTTAATGCTGATGTACTTCAGTGTGGTTTTGCGGCTTTTTTTCAAAACTCCTTATAGGTAGCCGCTACCTACAGTATATCTAGAGAGGGTAAATGGTATAAATTTTGGAGCCAGCTTGACTTAGAGCTCTGTCTCTTCCAATTATAAGCCAGATGAATGGAAAAATCACTCACCTTCCTGCCACAGGCTCCTCCTCTGTAAAGTGAGAATAAGGATAGTAACTGTTTCATAGATCATTCTGAGAATGATTGAGCCCTTTCCTACACAGTACTTAGAGCAGAGCCACTGCACAGTGAGCACTCAGGAACTGTGTGTTTTTACTCTTTAGGCTCTAAGAGAGGAAGATAAACATGTAGATTTGGCTTTGTTCCCTAGTGTTGGTAGGAATTTAGATCAGTGGTAAAACTTGAGTATTCAGAGTAACATTATTTTCAAGAGTCTAAACTAAAAAACCTTTCTACAATTTTCTGTTTTCAGAAAATCACCACCAAGAATGCTTTTGGGTTGCACTTGATTGATTTTATGTCAGAGATTCTTAAACAAAAGGACACGGAACCAACTAACTTTAAAGTAAGAAGGATATGCACTTTCTCTTACAATTGATCTAATATTAATTATTTCTTATGCTTAGCATAAAATAATGAAATTCTGCAAATACTTTCCCCATTGCAATAGTTATTTTACTTTCTTTAACAGATGAAATGCAGAGAAGACAGATATGTTTATCCCATTAGTCTTAAGGGCATCTGTTACTTTTTTTCCTTGGGACAAGTAAACATTTTATGAAACTTGCTAGATTTTGCTTATTTAGCACTGCATTTTTTTCTGCCTATTCATGAATATAGCTCTACTTGTTTGACTAGGTGGCTGCTGGCACCCTGGATGCCAGCACCAAGATCTATGCTGTGCGCGTGGATGCTGTCCATGCTGATGTGTACAGAGTCCTTGGGGGACTGGGCAAAGATGCACCAACCCTTGATGAAGTAGAGGACCATGGTGCAGGTATGGGTTGGAATCTGGATTTAAGGGGCTTATTTTAATGTATTTCCAAATAGTAATTTGGGTGACATATTGGAGTGAAGTCATAAGAAATCAGTTATATCATTTTATTAAATCATGATATTTCAGAAGAATATATATTTTATATAAGAAAACCACAGAAATCTTGCCCACTTGATTATATAGAAAAATCATGGTTAATAATAATTGCTAAATCATAATTAATGATCATAGATAATTTCTTTTTCCCTCTGTCCTTCTCCCCCCCCCCTCTCCTTTGAGAGGATTTCACATGTTTAAATTGTGGTCACTCCTTAGGGTTTTGAAGTACTTGAATTAGTAAAATCAGTCACTTACTTCTGAGCAGTTCTTGCGGTACACAGTCTTATTCTTCATTGTAGATGGAAGTGCTACTGAAACAGGAACAACCAAAAAGGTCCCAAAACCAAAGAAGAAGCATTCATACAAAACCATCGAGCAGAATATAAACAACCTCAATGTCTCTGAAGCAGAGAGAAAGTGTGAGGTGAGGAAGGGTATGCATACTGTGGTCTGTCTAATTCAGGTTTTCAGGAGCTGAGATTTAGCAAGGCTAAGCCTGCCTTGCTGGTCTGTGCTTGTTCAAGCCTCAGGAAGTAAGCTACTCATCTGGTTTCTCTCACTATCAATTCCTTAGCTTTATAATGATTAAAAGAGATTGATAATTACAGAGAAATCTGATGCTCAAGCATTTAACTTTATTTTCAATTATATGTAGCAGTGGTGATAATAATGTTTATTGTACTCACTCTGGGAACCATATGCTTTTGTGAGCCATACTGTGTTAACTCTCATAGTCCTCACAGCATCCTTGTTACTTTAATAAAAAGGAAACTAAAGCACAAAACTATTAAGTAACATGCTCGAGATAATATGTCTAGTATAGAAGCTAGTATTTGAAGTGAAATGGTCTCTCAAACAGCCTATTATCTAGCAGGTCCTAAGAAATGCACTTAAAGAATGGTTATTAAGGGGACTGGAAATATGGCTTAGTGGTAGAGTGCTTGCCTAGCATGCATGACGTCCTGGGTTAAATTCCTTAGTACCACATAAACAGAAAAAGCCAGAAGTGGCTCTGTGGCTTAAGTGGTAGAGTGCTAGCCTTGAGTAAAAGAAGCTCAGGGACAGTGCCTAGGCCCTGAGTTCAAGCCCCAGGACTGGCAAACAAAACAAAACAACCCAAAAACCCAAATAAATATAAATAAACAAATAGAATGCTTGTTAAAGAATTAACAAGCATTGCTCGTTTAAAGCAAATGGTGTTCTAATATTGTTTTCTTAATTTTGCTTCTAAAAATACTGTTTTTAGGGGCTGGGAATCTGGCTTAGTGGTAGAGTGCTTGCAGGTATGCATGAAGTCCTGGGTTCAATTCCTCAGCACCACATAAACAGAAAAAGCCAGAAGAGGCACTGTGACTCAAGTTATATAGAGTGCTAGCCTTGAGCAAAAGAAGGTCAGGGACAATGCTTAGGCCCTGAGTTCAAGCCCCAGGACTGGCAAAATAATGGTTTTTAGCTGGGTGTGCTGTGGCTCATGCCTTTAATCCTAGCTACTCAGGAGGCTGAGATCTGAGGATCACAGTTCAAAGCCAGCCCAGGCAGGAAAGTCCATGAGACTCTTCTCTCCAATTAACCACCAGAAAACAGGAAGTGGCGCTGTGGCTCAAGTGGTATAGTGCTCACCTCGGGCTGAAGAGCTGAGGGACAGCACCCAGGCCCAGAGTTCAAGCCCCACGACCGAAGGGGGAAATATATATAGTTTTTAACTGGGTAAGGTGGCACACTAGAAATCCTAGCTACTTGGGAGACTGAGATTGGTAGGATCACAGTTCAAGGTTAGGCTAGACACAATAAGTTCCCAAGACCCCATCTTAACCAATCAAAAAGCTAGGCATGGTGGTGTCTACCTGTCATCCCAGCTCCTTGGGAAGTGTAAATAGGATTGGTTCAGCCTGGCCCAGGTGAAAACCAAGACTCTATTAACAAAATACAGAAAGCAGAAAGGCTGGGGTATGGCTCAAGTGGTAGAGTGCCTGCCTGGCCTGCATAAGGCCCTGAGTTCAAACTCCAATACCACATAAAAATAGCAAATAAGCCAAGTATCAGTGGCTCATGCCTATAATTGTAGCTACTCAGGAGGCTGAGATCTGAGGATCGAGGTTCAAGGACAACCTGGGCAGGAAAGTCTGTGAGACTCTTAGCTGTGGCTCAAGTGGTAGAGTGTTATTCTGAGCAAAGGAAGCTCAGGAACAGCACCTAGGCCATGAGTACAAGCCTCAGGACTAACACACACATACAAAAGCAAATAAACTAATGTTTTTAGTGCTGGGTTTGTAACTTAACACGTGTGAAATTCTGGGGGTATAAAAGAAATTGTTTGAGAGTTGGGTGCTGTGACTTATGCCTATAATCCTAGCTACTTGGAAAACTGAGATTGGGAGGATTGTGGTTTGAGTCCAGCCCAGGCAGAAAAATGTTTAAAAGATGCATTCTCAATCAAGATTTGGGTATATTGGTCATACCTTTTAGCTATGACAAGAAGCCTAAAATAGGTGGATCATAGTTCACGCACTTGCCCAGGCAAGAAGTAAGATCTTGTTGGTAAATTCTAACCAAACTGGTAGTAAAGCCAAAATTCCCCAAACCCAGCAGGACAAAGTGGAGAAGAGAATAGGTAGGTTGGGAGCTGAGAGACAGTAGCTTAATTGGTACACAAATAATTAATTGGTACACACCCTTGAGGGGTGTGTGTGTGTGTGTGTGTGTGTGTGTGTGTGTGTGTGTGTGTGTAGATAGGTAAGTAGGTAGATAGATAGATAGATAGATAGATAGATAGATAGATAGAGTACACTGTTATGTAAAACATTACCCATTGGGGAATTTATAAAACAACACAGGGATTAATATTACTATTCTTTCACCATCCTTGTAGATTTGAATTTTTTCATAAGAATTGGAAAAACAAATGTTCAAATGGGAGGAGAGAGAAAGGAATGAAGACACTGAAATAGGTCATTGTCTAGAAGACTTGCTACAGTTTGGGGTCACGGAGATAGCAAAAATGAAAGTAAGGTTGAGTAAGAACTAGCAGCATATTTCATTGATTACAACAGACTTGTGGAGATGATATCGTTGATGGCTGCAGAAGAGAGGAGAGAGCTACTGGCCAGTGATTGAAGGCTATTGAGAAGCAGCAGCCACTATAGAAGGCTAAGGGGGAAGTATACCCTGGAGAGTTCATGCTTGAGCTATATCAGGGCCACTCAGACTGATACATTGCCCTCCCTTCTTCTGGGCCTCCCCAGATTTTGTTCCTATTTTTCCTTGAAATGGAATACTAAGGAATAAGACTTTGTCAGGTAGGTTTGAGGTTTAGAGAGCCACAAATTATGATACTCAAATTTTTTTTCTCCTAACACCTCCAATTTCACTCCCTGAGAGTGATATTGTCCCCTTGGGAATGCATGAGTTAGAGCAAGCAGGTAGAAAGAACCTTCAGAAAAGAAATGGGCAGACTAGGGAATCGTAATGGTAACTGACTGACTGTGACTAAAGGACCCTGGTGGGGGTGGGGGTAGGTGGGATGGGGGGGTAAGGGGAGTGGGTAATGTCAGATCCTGGAAGTAGAAGATGGCATATCATCTGAATGAGAATGTCAACTGACTAGATTGTAGTCTGGGCAATGCAGAACTGATGTGTCTGAGGGTCTTTTTAATTTTTTTATTTTTTGGTTGGTCGTGGGGCTTGAACTCTGGGCTTGGGCGCTGTCCCACAGCTCTTCAGCTCAAGGCGAGCGCTCTACCACTTGAGCTACAGCGCCACTTCCGGTTTTCTGGTGGTTTATTGGAGATAGGAGTCTCACAGTCTCTCTTGCCCGGGCTGGCTTTGAACCGCGATCCTCAGATCTCAGCCTCCTGAGTAGCTAGGATTACAGGTGTGAGCCACCAGCGCCCGGCCTGAGGGTCTTTTTTAAAGTCAAATAGAGGGCTGTAATATCAGTCCCAGTGGTCTCAAAACAAATAATGGTGAGGGTGGGGAAGTAGGACCCTGCTGGGTTCACTCTAGTGGTGGAGTAGAGCAGGTCTGGACTACTCTGAGCTGCTTGGTGGCCCCAGTCTATAAAGGAGTTGCATAGGCTGGGAGAAGCCAGAACAAGGTGGGGTTACTAAAGACTAGGCTGGTAGAGAGAGGTAGCAGATGAGAGAGTGTGTGTGTTATTTTCCTATTGGATGTGCACGATGGTAAAGGTAGATGGTATAAGTTCATGTCCTGGTCCCTTGTGTTAGCTGCATCACCTGGGAAAAGGGTCTGTGTCTCTGCTTACTGTAAAAACAGGTGAAGCTGACCTCCTCCACATTGAGTTTGTGTTAGTGGATCAGTTAATGTCAAGAGGCTTTATATATGATGATATGCTAAACACATTTGAAGTGATATTATTGGTTTTAGGGATCCATTGTCTGGGAAGTGTTTCTAGATGGAGGTATAAGCAAAAGCCACAGAGTAAGAAAGTTCTGGTTCTTTGAGGAGCTTGAAAGTACATGTTTACCTAGAGACAAGGATTTACTTAAAAATTTATTAGTCTTTCCCATACAGTCTGTTGTCTGCCCAGTCCCTTGATTGACACTTCTTTACTGTGAATCTTTGACTCAAAAGGTTTCATTTATCTAAACTGTGCTGTCAGTGATAATTCATTTTTCCATTGATTTACTCTAGAATCTAACTCTGATCTGCTTGAAAGAACCACTGTCCTCACACTGGTATAATTCTAGACAGTAGTGAAGAAATAATTGGGTGTGGTGGTTCACATCTTTAATCTTAGCTACTTGGGAGGCAGAGATGGGAAGATCTAGATTCAATAATAGCTCAGAAAAGAAGTTATTAGCAAAATCCTATCTCAGAAAAACAAAAACAAGCCAGGGCCGGCAATTGGTTTAGAGCACCTGCCTAGCAAAGTTGGGGCCCTGAGTTCAAACCCCAGTACCACCCCTCCTTTTAAAACTAAGCCAGGCTTCGGACTACATACTGTAGAGGCAAAGGAGGAAGATAACTGTCTTAAGTCTGACTCAGACAAAAGTGCAAAGACCCTACCTATTTTATATGTACCTACTTAGAGAAAACAATTTGTAGAAGGAGACCAGGAAACAGATACCATTCAGGTGTATTGTAAATAAATAAGATGGATAAGGTATACACTTTTCACAGTGATTGTCTTCTTGGAAAAGAAATGTTTATCCGTCTGACCCCTTATGTGGGATTTTACATGATGGATTAAAAAGCCTTTCCCCTTTTTGATCATGTGCAGGCCCAGGGATACACCTGCACAAGAGCAGGATCTAGTGCATGAGTTTGCATTTCCTCTGCTTCCTGCCCTAATTCCTTGGTTCCCTCTCTCTTTTTTTTTGGTTCTGGTCGTGGGGCCTGAACTCTGGGCCTGGGCGCTGTCCCTCAGCTCTTCAGCTCAAGGCTAGCGCTCTACCACTTGAGCCACAGCGCCACTTCCGGCTTTTTTCTTTTTGCTTATGTGGTGCTGAGGAATCGAACCCAGGGCCTAAGGCATGCAAGGCAAGTGCTCTACCACTGAGCCACCTTCCCAGCCCCCCTCTCTTTTTGTACTCAGGTTGATCCCATGTTTCAGAAGACTGCAGCTTCATTTGATGAATGTAGCACAGCAGGAGTATTTCTCTCCACCCTTCACTGCCAGGACTACAGGAGCGAGCTACTTTTTCCTTCTGATGTCCAGATCCTCTCCACTGAAGAACCTCCTGCATTACCAGATTTAGGTTCAGTAGAAATGACAGATTTAAAAGGTAAGTTCAACTAAGCTTTTTGTCAGAGCATTTTCTTTCTTTCTTTTTTTTTTTTTTTTTTTTTTTTTTTTTTTGGTCTTTTTTTTGTTATGAGGCTTGAACTCAGAGCCTGGGTGCTGTCCCTGAGCTCTTTTGCTCAAAGGTAGCGCTCTACTACTTTGAGCACAGCTCTACTTCTGGTTTTCTGGTGGTTAATTGGATGTAAGAGTCTCACACACTTTCCTGCCTGGGCTGTCTTTAAACTTCATTGCTCAGATCTCAGCTTCCTGAGTAGCTAGGATTAGGCGTGAGCCACAATAGCTTGGCTTTTTCTTCTTTTTTGTCAGTTGTGGGGCTTGAACTCTGTGCCTGGGCTCTGTCCCTCACCTCTTCAGCTCAAGGCTAGTGCTCTACCACTTGAGCCATAGCACCACTTCCAGTTTTCTGGTGGTTTATTGGAGGTAAGAGTTTCATGGACTTTTCTGTCTTTGAACCTGGATCCTCAGATCTCAGCTTCCTGAGTAGCTAGGATTACAGGCTGAGCCACTGGCACTCGGGTTTTTCTTTTCTTTTCTTTTTTTATGATAGAGTCTTATTTATGTAGCCCAGATTAGCCTCAAACCCAACATTCTCCTGGCTTATCCTGTAATGTTGGGATTATAAATGTGCTCCACCCACCACATATAGTTTTAGGTTGCTTCTGTGTGTGTGTGTGTGTGTGTGTGTGTGTGCGCGCGTGTGTGCGCGCGTGTGTGCGTGTGTGCGCTCGCTTACATACGCACGCGTGTACTCAGGTATGTGTGCACCAACAGCAGAATGCTTGGGTGCTTTCCCTTAGCTTTTTTGCTCCAGGCTGGTGTTCTTCCACTTGAGCCACACCTCTGCTTCTAGCTTTTGTGTGGTGAGTTTTGCCTGGGCTGGCTTTGAACCATAATCCTCAGATTTTAGTCTCTTGAGTAGCCAGGATTACAGGCTGAGCCACTGGCTTTTTCTTTTCTTTTCTTTGAGCCACTGGTATCTAGTTTAGGTCACTTCTTCAAATCACCCAAAAGTTTCCTCTGGAATACCTAGCAACCCTCTCACAGCTTTTCCTTTGCTAATCATTGCCTCTTGGTTCTATGGCCTATGTATCTCAGGTATCCATTGGTCAGCTCTCACGATCATAGTCAAGCTTTCCTTGACTTGGTAAGTTTGGATTTTGGAACGAGGCTTAAAGAGACCTCCATCCAGAGAGGCATTTTTGTTGTTGTTGTTGGTTGTAGCTTGAACTCAGGGCCTGGTTGCTGTCCTGGAGCTTTTTTGCTCAAGGCGAGTGCTCTATCACTTTGAGTCATAGTGCCACTTCCCATTTTCTGGTGGTTAATTGTAGCTAAGAGTCTCATGGACATTCCTGCTCAGGCTGGCTTCAAACTATGATCCTCAGATCTCAGCCTCCTAACTAACTAAGATTATAGGCCTGAGCCACTGGTACCTGGCTTAAGGCCTTGTTTTTACTTGTTCTCAAGCTAAGGGGTCTTAAGGATAAGTGGGTACAATGAATTGTTTTCAAACACTTGCAGAAGTTAAGAACCAACCTGTTCCATTGTCAGTCTGTTATGCTAAATTGCTAAATATTTAACAACCTCCAAATTCTTCACCTCGGCCCAGGGGATCTTTGGAGGATGTTGTGATGGGAAACAGATGGTATGAAGACCAGGCATATGCAGTATGATACCTGGGTATGCCTGTGAATCCCCTATGTGTTGAATGAAGTTGGTCGCCCCCCTTTGGACAGGGTCAAACAGATGTTAATGGCATCTGTTTCGACCTAAATTTGTGCTAGCAGTCTGTTTTTCAAATTCATGCCCTTCCTTGGGGCTCTGATCCTGTGAGGTAGGTCATTTGGAGTTTGTTTTCTTTGGGAGTAAAAATAAGTACCATTATATGCGTATGTACTGCATATGCTTTTAAGAGGAAGTGTTTTTGGATTCCCAACTATCATGTAAGATACAAGGTTTATTTCAGAATCAAATGTCTGCTTTAGATTTTCCCTCCAGCGTTTTACTAACTCTGGGAATGATGGTGTGTAACCTGACTCCAGTGTGATGTGTACCTGTGCATTTGCTTGCTTCCCTGGAACAGTCTGGCCCACAGAAGTTGATGGCCAGCCAGTGTTACTGTTCCAGCTTCTGCTGGAAAACAGTGAGGAGACTGTCCCTCTTGTCCCTGTTATGCCCCCTCATGTCATTCTAGAGGAATATACTTGACCCACCTCTAATCTCTTTGGTTTTGCTGTCCCTCCAGCACCCTTGCAGCAGTGTGTGGAAGATCGCCAACTCTGCCCTTCCTTGGCTGGGTTCCAGTTTACTAAATGGGACAGTGAAACACATAATGAGGTGTGGTCAACTTTTGGACTTACAAGGGCTCAGGGAATTCCTCCAGTGGTTCGTGGTTTCAGTTAGATAGCCTAATATTAGTTATACCCAGTGGGAACCAAAACTGGCCTTGTTTTTACTTAGCTATGGGAACAGAAAATATTTCCTTTGGCACTTCTATAAGGATAAAAATCCTACGTGGGTCAGGGTGGTGTTCTGAACCTAAGAAGGACCATCTTAGAACTGAATGGATTCTGAGGTCAGCTTTATGTTCCTTCTTCTATTTCCCTATGGCAGGGCTGCCCTGCCATTCATTAATGGACATTTTTGCCAGACTTTCTCTTGAGTGTGGTTATCCAAGTCGCCTCTGGTCTCAGGCTGCTGTCAAGCTCAAAGCATTTCCTGCTCTTTGGGGTTAAGTCTCTTGGCACATAGTTTCCTGAGAAATTGTCATGTGTAAAGCCTTCCTTTGTGTATTTTTAGCAAGGCCCCTTTAACCTACTAACTACAACTCCCAAAAGAAATGATCACCATGGAAAACTGGTTTTTCCAAACATACAATTAATGAATACAGATTCCTGTTTCATGGTTTACAAAATGTGCCTAACACAATACAGTCTCATCCTGTTCTGCACAATGTAAACTTCCTCAGTGACTGCTCTCGTGAATGCAATGGTTCTGGGAGCTGGGGGGCAGGGAGAGATGGCACAGGGTAAAAAAAAGCTAGAAACTGGAATGTGAACTGGGTGAGCTGGGCAACTGAAGGAATGAGAACTAGAGAATCTTCTTTTGTTCCTCTAGTCTGTGTCAGCTCTCGTTGACAAGTTTAAGAAGAATGATCAGGTATTTGACATGGATGCCGAGGTTGAAGAGAATGATGACAGGGACTTCCTGGATGGACACCAGGAGGATGACTTTTACGCCAGTGATGAACAAGACCATTCCGCAGCTGGGGATAGTGAAGAAATCCAGAGCTGGAAAAAGCCCGGCCAGGTCCAAAGCTTCCAGTAAGTCTTTCAGGGTCCCAGGAAGTTTTCAGAAGTATTTTCCTTTTTTTTTTTTTTGCCAATCCTGGGGGTTGAACTTAGGGCCTGGGCTCTGTCCCTGAGCTTCTTTTGCTCAAGGCTAGTACTGTACCACTTGAGCCACAGAGCCACTTGCGGCTTTTTCTGTTTTTGTGGTACTGAGGAATCGAACCTAGGGTTTCATGCATCCTAGGCAAGCACTGTACCACTAAGACACATTCCCAGCCATTTTTCATGAATTCTAAACAGGTCTGCTGCGGCTATGTGATTTCAGCTCTGGTTGGCTGGGCTATGTGTCACATATACCTTAGATGAACCCCATATCTTATTCATAGTGTATGTTGGCTAAGCCACCTTGGTGACCGGGGTTTATAAGGATTAGAATCATAAAGTACTGAATAAACTACTATAGAGTACTATGAAGTACGGAATAAACTACTATCTCATAGCTACCTCACTGTGATGGTGGTTATCACATACATTTTCATAGAGAGAGTGTTCCCGTCGCATAATCTGTGTACACTCACTTTGTGCCATATCCTTGAATATCAGTGACCGAAACTGGCCTGTTGAATACTGCTTATAGAAAAAAGTGGTGAGCAGTGAGTAGAGGTGGGCATTACTGGGTGACCAGATAGGCTGACTTCAAATTACTGTTTGAGCCAGGCACTAGTAGATACCTTTAATCCCAGCCTCTCAGGATGCTGAGATGGAGAATTGAGGTTTGAAGATAGGCAGAAAAGTGTGAAAGACTTTGTCTCTAATTAACCAGCACACACACAGAAAGCAATCTCATTTTGGAAATATTTAAGAAGCATCTTTTTGGGGGACGTACTGGGGTTTGAGCTCAGCATCTCACTTGTTTTTGGCTGGCTTGCTCAGCTGACACTCGACCACTTTTTTTTTTTCATTTAGCATGCAGTGATTGTATAACAGGAGTTTCATTGTGACATTTCCACATGTGTATCATTCTTCCTGAAAACAGCTTCAACAGGTTTCATTTTTCTATTTTCATACATACAAACAACTACTTCTACATATTCATCCTCATTCATCTCCTTTGTTAGCCCAACCCTTTCTTGCTGATTCACCCATCCTGTGGGTTGTTTTACTTTATTGTAAAAAATTTTTTCTAATGTATATTAATTGCACCAAGGTATTTCACCATGGTATTTCAGTGGTATTTCAGACATTCTGTGATGACTCTTTTTTTTTTTTGGTCTGGTCGTGGGGCCTGAACTCTGGGCCTGGGTGCTGTCCCTCAGCTCTTCAGCTCAAGGCTAGCACTCTACCACTTGAGCCACAGTGCCACTTTCGGTTTTTTTCTTTTTGCTTATGTGATGCTGAGGAATCGAACCCAGGGCCTCAGGCATACAAGGCAAGTGCTCTACCACTGAGCCACCTTCCCAGCCCCATGTGATGAACTCTTTTAAATCACATTTTCACATGTCAGAGAAGAACCTGTGACATCAGGGAGGTGACATCCGAGGGAGTTTTAATAACGGTTTCAGCACCTCCCATATTGTTTCAGATAAAGTTTTTCTTTTTTTTTTTTTTGGTAATACTGGAGTTTGAATGCAGAACTTTGTACTTGTTAGGCAGATACTCTATTTCTTTATTTAGTTCTTCAGTTTCTCAAAAAACATCTTTATTCCCCAGGCATTTCTGGATGGAAATCTTTTGTAATTTTCTCATGGCTGGGATGATATGTACATGTCACTATACTCAGCTTTTTATTTACTGAGAAAGGTTTCTTAAGGTGTTTTTTGTTTTTAATTGATCCAAGGTTTAAACTCAGGGCTTTGAGCTCGCTTTGGCTTGAGTGCTCAGCTGGTACACTACCATTTGAGCCATGTATCAATCCAGCTTTTTGCTGACTTTTTTGGAGATAGTGTCTTGAGAACTTTTCTGCCCTTAATGATATTAAACCATGATCTTCCAGCTCTCAGCCTCTTGAATAGGTAAGGTTACAGGTTTGAGATGCTAGTACCTGACTTGGGTCTCTAATTTTTTTGGCCCTGGCTGATCCTGAATATTCCATCCAATATCTAGTTCCCAAGTTACTAGGATTATTGCCATGAGCCACCACACGTATCCCTGGATGACAACATTTTGACATGTTCACAGGTCAGAAGTAGAGCTTCTTTGCATATCTTTCTTCCTACAGCACTGGGAGTGGGGCAATTTGTTCTCTGCTGAGATTTCTATAGCACTGTACATTTTTAGAAGTTGTTGGCCATGGTTAAAAGTCCTAGGCAGGGCTGGGAAGGTGGCTCAGTGGTAGAGTGCTTGCCTTGCATGCCTGAGGCCCTGGGTTCGATTCCTCAGCACCACATAAGCAAAAAAGACAGGTGGTGCTGTGGCTCAAGTGGTAGAGCACTAGCCTTGAGCTGAAGAGCTGAGGGACAGCTGCCAGGCCCAGAGTTCAGGCCCCACTACCGGACCCCCAAAAAAAAAAAGTCCTAGGCAGTGTGATTGGAGCACATAGCCCAGCCCACTCTGTTTGCAAGAATAAAGCACTCTGCTGGACTGGCTAATGCACTTGGTGCTAGCTGGGAGTAGACCTTTAGTTTGCTTGTGTTAGTACAAGGGACCAAGCTAGGGCTGAAGTAGAGGGGCCCTGTGATATGAGGAAAGGAGATAAAGAGATAGCAGAGAGGGAGGAAAGAAGGGAGGGGGGGATAGTGTCTCCATAATGGTAGTGGTGTGGGGGTAGTAGAGAAATTTGGAGGAGCAGCCTTGACATATGAAGAGATTGTAGTTTCTGTTATAGAGTGATAGAATCAGCTTTATACAGGGTAACTTTCACACAGCAGTATGAAGGAATTGGGTTCAGGAAATCTGTTAGGCCTCTGCATAGCCCTGAGTTGTGCTTTTAAGAAAGGACCTGGGTACTTCATACCTTTGCCTATAAATGCCCAGCCTCTAAAATTTTAACAGAATGTCCATAGGATTAAGAGGATCTTCTTTCTTTGTGTGTGTGTGTGTGTGTGTGTGTGTGTGTGTGTGTGTGTGTGTGTGTGTGTGTTTTGTTTGTTTTTTTTTGGTCAGTCATAGGGCTTGATCTCTAGGCCTGGGCACTGTCCCTGAGCTCTTCAGCTCAAGGCTAACTCTCAACCACTTGAACCACAGTACCACTTCTGGCCTTTTCTGTTTATGTGGTGCTAAGGAATCAAACCCAGGGCCTTATGCATGTGAGGCAAGCACTCTACCACTGAGCCACCTTCCCAGCCCTAAGAGGATCTTCTTTCTTTATTAAGAGTTCATGTTACAGCATGTTTGTTACCTAACAATGAAGGCTAACCACCAGCTTCCATGACACAGAACATATTTTACAGACCAAAAAAGAAATTGTGTGGGGCTGAGAAGGTGGCTCAGTGGTAGAAAGCTTGCCTCCCATTCATGAAGCCCTGGGTTTGATTCTACATAAAGTGGTGCTGTGGCTCAAGTGATAGAGCACCAGCCTTGAGCTGAAGAGCTGAGGGACAGTGCCCAGGCCCAAAGTTCAAGTCCCACAAATGACCAAAAAAAAAAAAAAAATTTGTGTGTGCGTGCACGTGCGTGTGTGTTTGTGTGTGTGTGTGTGTTGCCAGGCCTGGGCACTGACCCTGAGCTTCTTTTGCTTAAGGTTAGCACTCTACCAATTGAGCCACAGTGTCACTTCCAGCCTTTTCTGTTTATGTGGTACTGTGGAATCAAACCCAGGGCTTCATGCATGCTAGGCAAGCACTCTATCACTAAGCCACATTCCCGGCCCCATTTTTTAAAATTTTTTTAAGTGTATTTTATTTTTTAAAATACCCAAATGCCTCTTCATATGTATATAAAACAGGATACATACTGAAATGAAATTCAAAGATACAGAAACAAAGGACTTTTTTTCTTAAATTGTTTTTTTTTTTTTTTTGTGGGTACAGATAGGAGGGAGAGAATGGAAAAGAATGAGGGAACAGATGATACTATGTGAAAGGAAATGTAGTTATTACCTGGCGTATGTAAAGGTAATCTTGCTGTATATCACTTCTAAAACAACAATAAAAAGTTAGAAAAAAATTTTAATTACGTGATAAATATGCAACTGGATTTATTTTTTGTTTTATTATATTCTTTTTGTTGTTGTTGTTGGTTGTGGGGCTTGAACTCAGGGCCTGCGTGCTGTCTTTGAGCTTTTTTGCTCAAGACTAGCATTCTACCACTCTACCACTTTGAGGCACAGTGACACTTTAAAAAAAATTTTTTTTTTTTTTTTGTTGGTCATGGGGCTTGAACTCTGGGCCTGGGCGCTGTCCCTCAGCTCAAGGCTAGCATTCTACTACTTGAGCCACAGCACCACTTTTAATTTTCTGAGTGGTTTATTGGAGGTAAGAGTCTCATGGACTTTCCTGCCTGGCTGGCTTTGAACCACAATCCTCAGATCTCAGCCTCCTGAGTAACTAGGATTACAGGTATGAGTCACCAGTACCCAGTTTTTAAAAATGTTTTTTAGTATTCTGTAGAGAAAACCTAAGTTCCCCTTTTGCTTTTTTAATCTTACTCTAGTCTATCAGGCCAGTCATAAGTGTGATTCAGTGCAGGTCCTCAGTTACTTCCTGATTGGTCTCCTCACTGCTGTTCCCTTCAGAAGCATGTTAACATGCTTCCCATCATTGTCCAGTCCTTGCAGGAAGGTGAAAACTCAAACCAAGCTGCCATGCTGACAGATCATGAACAGCAGAAGGAATATGGATGACAGATTAGGAGAGTGTTCCCAAAGCTTTTGGGGAACTGAGTGTTTAAATTTGATCAACAACTTCTCAGTCTAATAGAAACAACAGAATTGTCTGCTGGAGCCTTCATTTTGGAGGAATAATGAAGACAGAATAAAGAGTTGTCAACTGAGTGGCAAGAAACCTTGTATGTAGAAAGATCCCAAGGCTGGGATTCAGAAAATTGTCTAGCTTCAAATTCTGGCATTTTAGTAGCAGTGTAGTCTTACATAAAAACTTAATTTCTTTTTTTTTTCCTAGTCCTAGGGCTTGAACTCTGGCCCTGGGTACTGTCCCTGAGCTTCTTTTACTCAAGGTTAGTGCCCTACCACTTGAGTCACAGTGCCCCTTCCAGCTTTTTCTGAATAGTTTATTGGAGATGAGAATCTCTCAGATTTTCCTGCCCAGGCTGACTTCAAACCATGATCCTCAGATGTCAGTCTCCTGAGTTGCTAGGATTACAGGCATAAACTACCTGCACCTGGCTTAAAAACTTAATTTTTAAGGGAACTGAATGTGGTGTTTCATGCGTATAATTCCAGCTGTTTGGGAAGTAGAAGTGAGGATTAGGGGCTGGGAACGTGGCTTAGTGATAGAGTGCATGCATGCATGAAGCCCTGGGTTCTATTCCTCAGTACCATATACACAGAAAAAGCCAGAAGTAGCACTGTGGCTCAAGAGGTAGAGTGCTAGCCTTGAGCAAAAAAGTCCCTGAGTTTAAGCCCTAGGACTGGCCAAAAGATAGGATTGCAGTTCAAGTCCAACCTAGCAAAAAATTAGACCCTATCTCAAAAACAAGTCAGGCATGAAAGTGCATACCTGTAATCACAGCAATATGGGAGGCAGAAGGGATAGGAGGATCTTGGTTCAAGGCAAAAAGTATTCAGACTTCATCTGAAAATAAACTGAAGCAAAAAGGGCTGAGGTGTAACTCAAGTGATAGAGCACCTGCCTAACAAGCACAAAGGCCTGAGTACAAATCTAGTTCTGTGAGAAAAAAGAAGAAACTTAATATTTCAGAAGAAAAGAAATATAAGTATATACAAACACCTTATTTTCTCTCTAACTTTATTACCAAGTGAGAACATTGGCATTTTACAAAGTATGTATGAATGTGTTATAAAACTAAGAAGCAAAATCACTGGAAAAGTAAAATCTAGGGGATTGTTAATGAAAGACTTATGTTAATGAAAGACTTACTTTAGAAATGCTGTTCCTTCTATGGAATGGGGATTAGATACTAGGTCCAGTGACATCATAGTATCTTTACATGTAAATATGAACAAATGATTTTATGTGCATTACAGGAAAGAAATGATTTCCCTTGGAGATGGAGACATTGGGACTATGTGTCCCTTTCTATCAATGAAACCTGGAGAATATTCCTATTTCAGTCCCAGGACCATGAAGATGTGGGCTGGTCCAGATCACTGGCGATTTAGGCCTCGACACAAGCGTATGTACTTCCAGATGGAACTTTTAAGAGAATATGTCAGGTATTGTAGCTGACCAGTCTGCCAGTCAGCCGAGGAAAGGAAGTGCCATTCACTGTCCATTTATACCTCCGTACAAGCTGAAAAAACACAAATGAGCCAGCCTCCATGTTGGCCAGTTTGTCTGGCCTGGTATGAAGGGCCAGTTAAAATTGACCTACTGAGTTGGGCGCTAGTAGCTCACACCTATAATCCTAGCTACTCAAGAGGCTGAGATCTGAGGATCTGTATTCAAAACCAGTGTGGGCAGGAAAATCCATGAGTCTTGTATCTTCAGTTAGCCACCAGAAAACCAGAAGTGGAGCTGTGGCTCAAAGTGGTAGAACACTACTAGTCTTGAGTGAAAAAGCTCAGGGACAGTGCCCAGACCTTGAGTTGAAGCCTCATGACCACCACCAACAACAAATTGACCTATTGGAAAGAGTAAATAACCTTAGAGTCAGGAGTATGGGGATCCCATGATTTCACACTGCTTCTTAATGTCAGCATGTCTTCCAGCAGTAGGAGTGCCCATTGGTCTTAGATGACCCAGGAGTCAGTGCACACTGAAGCACAGCAGCCCTTAAAAGGTGTCCTAGCCTTACATGCTTGGCTGTTATAAGGCTCAGTTGTAAATGCTGCCTTGTGGTTAATGAGGCTGTCAATAGATTCTATGAAATAAGGAAGTGGCTTGGGCCATGTCTTGAGGTGAACAGCATTGTCATTTGTATTCATTTCTGCAGAAGAATCTACGTCCCTATCAGAAAATAGAAAGAAGAGTACAAAGAAAGACTTTGAAATTAACTTTGATGATGATGTTGACTTTGATGTGTATTTTCGAAAAACAAAGGTTTGTATTTAATTATTAGCAGCTGTGATTTCTTATGTACTTCTCTTTTAGAAAGATTTTAGAAAAGTGGTGCTGTAGTTCAAAGTAAGTACTAGAAAGTCATTGTATTTTTAATTGTAATTTTAACAAATGGATAATTAATTTTAATAAATGGATAATCTCATTCTCCCTCATTCTCTGAAAGGACCACTGAAAAATAGTCTCAGACTCTGTAGCTGGAATAATGAGAATAATGACTTGAAAAATAATATACAGGACCATGACATCTCAGATGGTAGACTACTGTTGCCCAAATCCTTCCTGAAATCTTTTAATAAAAAGAAAAGACACTTAGGACATTATTAATACAAATGCTTTTTAAATTTTGCTTTTAATGAATAGGCTGCTACTGTTTTGACCAAGACAACTTTAGAGAACCAGAATTGGAAAGCTACCACCCTTCCTACAGATTTCCACTATGAGATTGATACTCTTGTCCAGCTTCATCTCAAACCAGGCATCAGGGTAAGATGGCTCCTCAGGTCCTGTAAGTTGCTCTTGTTATAGTATCTATTGATGGTGTGTGGAGTATCAACTGGCAGATAGATAATGTGACTGCCAAGTTGTACCTCTAAAAAAAGGAGAGAACCTGAGGAGGGATATATCTAATAATGTGTTAAGATTAGTCAGTTTTTCATCATTGTGACAAATACCTGAGTAGAACTATTTAAAAGGGAAAGGATTATGTTGGCTTAAGGTTTCAAAAGTTTATAGTCTCCAGTCAGCTGGCTCCATTGTTTCTGGGCAGAACATCAAGATGAATGGTACCATGGAGCATAGCTGTTTATCTCATGGAGGCCAGGAAACAGGAAGGCAGAGATAAGAAAGGGAGAGGGCAAGAAAGACTCTAAAAAGACACTCTTTCAGTGTCCTGCTTCTCCAACCAGGCCCTACTTTATACAGTTCTACTATCTCCCAATGGACTATTCAAATTTTAATTCTATCAGTGGATTAAATCATTTAGAGTTCAGTTCTAATGATCTAGTTATAGGCATACCCAGAGGTGTACTTTACTAATAGACATCTAGATCAATCAGGTTGATGATTAACATTAACCATCATGGTAATTTGCATATTCAGAGGTAAAAGTGGTGGAAGAAAATTATTTTGCCAGGTATTGGTGGCTCATGCCTGTAATCCTAGTTACTCAGGAGGCTGAGATCTGAGGATCACGGTTCAAAGCCAGTCTGGGCAGGAAAGTCCATGAGATTCTTTTTTTTTTTTTTTGGTCCGGTTGTGGGGCCTGAACTCTGGGCCTGGGCACTGTCCCTCAGCTCTTCAGCTCAAGGCTAGTGCTCTACCACTTGAGCCACAGCGCCACTT